TATATATATATATATATATATTATTATTATTATTATTATTATTATTTGTCATCTTCTTAAATGTAAAAAATAAAATAATAAAAACACAACTATAATTTTGTCTCAAATAATTTGTTTACCATCTATATTTTTTCTACAAAAACTCTAAATACCAAAAGAAAAGAAAGTAAGAAGAAGAAAGTTTGATGTAAACTTCGAATGTAGATCGTGGCATTGCTTTCATTTTGGTCTAATTTTTTGTTGATAACTATCGGATTTATACATATGATAATTTTGAAAAAATTGATTTTTTACCATTTACATTATATATATTTTTGATACGCATTACCCAAGAAAAAAATTATACCTATATAAAAAAAAATAAAAATAAAAAATTAACTCAAAATAGGTAGACAATTTTTTTACTCGTACAAATTCCAAATCGATTAACCAAACCAAATCGACCTAAACCGATTGGTTGGTTTGGTTTGGTTCGATTTCAATGACTGTATTGGATCAGTTTGAATTGGAATTTATTCAAATCGATCAAGTTGGTTTCGATTTCGAGCTGCACTTAAAATCAACCCAACCCGAACCATGCTCACATAGTATTTTTAGGCCTCGTTTGATTCTCATTTTTGTCAAAATACGTTTTTCTATCTCTTCTTTTTAACTAAATATTCTTCATTAAAATAATATTACACGTAAATTAAAACTTTTTTCTTATTTTTATCACACGTTTTTCACCATTCTACTATTCTAAAATTCATTTTTTCATAAAAATAGTGTCAAGCACCCTTTTAAATTTGGATAGAGCTCCCAAACTGTAGCATAATTGAAAATTGAGTTTTATTTACCAATCCTAGAACTCTCTAGAACCACGGGAACCCACACGGGCCGCACCTGTGTATATTGACGAGTGTACAGGAGACTGCAGTATTGTAGTAGTGTACAGCAAACCCACTGCACAACTCGAGTCTATTATTCGATTTCTTATCCATGGCGGCCTCTTTCCTTACACTCGTAAAACCCTTCACTTCTCACCGAGCGGACCTTCCATCTCTCTCCAACGGAAGACCCTCTGGTAATTTTTCTTGAATAGCATTTTAAGTCTCATTTCTGTGGATGGATTTCTTAATTTTCAGATTTCAGTCCCTTTTTTTACTGACCCTTTTTCTGACTGACAGGTCTACAAAGAAATTTCTTAAGAATCAATGCCATTGCAAAGAAATATGAACCCACCAAGGTTTTTCTGAACACATTCCTTTGCATTGTGTTTGTGTATTGGAAGTTTTTCACGTTCAAAAATAAACTGAAACTGGGTTTTTTTGTTGTTGTGTGGGTATATAATATAGGTTGTCCCTCAGGCTGATAGAGTTTTGATTCGACTAGAGGAACTACCTGAGGTATTCCTGTTAAAGCCATATGCTTATGTTTTTGAAATTTTATAAATTGTGCATTGAGCATGGAGTATTATAGGACGAGATGATATGCCTTTTGATTACTTATAGCATAGTCCTCAAATAAAATTTTTTTATCAGTTACTTTGAAGAAACTTTGCTGTTTTTTACTTCTATTTGTGTGAATGTCATTTGTAAGTAGTGACGAGAAATTTCAAACTTTCGGATGGCTAAAGATGTTTGGTTTGGATGACAATAGAATTATAGAACCTTATAAGGTACAATTGATGATTTAGTGCATGAACTGATAGTGTAGAGTCAAAGAACTTCTGCACTATATTGTGCTTAAAGGCGAGATCAATATTCAACTGACGTTGAAAATTGAGGCAAAATCATGATGCAATTGGAGTCGAGACAAAGTAATACGAGAAGATGTAGTTGAGATATTTTTAATTTGCTGAACATAATTTTTCATGATTGCAAAATGCTTGAATTTAAATTTGAAATTGACCCTTATTATATGCTAAAAACTTCCACTTTCCACTGATGCTAAATATCTTTTATTAGCTTCAACATGGGAATAATATAGTTACAAATATAAAGAAGAATAATGCTATATGTACATCCCCCTTACTGCTTGGGTGACATTCCCTCCTATGTGGAGGAAATTTGTGCAGTGATGTGATGGATAAGTTTAAAATCGAGTGTAAATGTTGCCATGTGGAAGAGAGTAAAGAAAGGTGTAAATGAGGTTGCACATGTAGCATGATTGTATAAAAATTATGTTTTATAAGGTGTTCTTTAGCATTTTGTGTCCTACTTTTTTGAGAAGGTCATGCATATTATGTTGCATTTTCAGTTCTTGTTTCCGTGATTCTTTGATTATCCTAACCAGGAAACATGTAAGATTATGAAATGTGGAGTGATGTTTGCATTCTCCAGTTTCTCGTGAAACAAAATCCATGTTTTGCATGGATCAGATCTCCTCATTCGCATTTTTTTTGAGATATTGATGAATAAATTGGGGTGGTGGGAAGTGCATTCTCAAACAAGAAGAATTTCGTTGATGTGACCATTTGTAATAAACATACTAAGGTTTATAGATTCCTGTTCCGGAAATTGGGGATTACTTTTGTTCTTCCTTTCTGCGGGTAGGGTAGCATGAAGAATAGTAAAATACTTGTGTTCTATTGTTCTATCAAGTTTGGGTGTTGGAGCATCTGCAATTATTACGTAGATTATACATAGACCAAAAATTTCCCATGTTTATGTGCACCTGTCATCATGCCATCTGATAAATGGAATAATCTTAATGCAGAAATCAGCTGGTGGAGTTTTGCTGCCTAAATCGGCAGTTAAATTTGAGCGGTACCTGATGGGAGAGGTGAGTAAGCAAGGACAATTTCTCCCATTCAGATATACATTTGGCATATCCTCATTCAGAAATACATGTGCCGGCATCTATATCTTCTTTTTTCTTGTTTTCTGTATTAATTTGTTCTTTTCCAGGTGCTTTCTATTGGTTCTGAGGTTGGGGAAGTTGAGGCTGGGAAAAAGGTAGGATTTTCAGAAGTTCTGATTTATGGACATTTTGATAACTCAACTTATTCAATCACTCTAAGCTACCATGTTTATTTTTTAAAAGAAGGGTCAAATAAATACTTATATTTTTATCCTATAATGTTTTCTTCTCCCCATTGTTGTTCTAAATACATGAAATCCATCTTTTGCAGGTTCTTTTTTCGGACATAAATGCTTACGAGGTACGTTTGGATGACCCATTATGTTTCGTAAATGTGAATGTGCTGCTGATTTTGAATACATCAAATTTGTTGACTATATGAATCCCCTCACTTGCATCTAGGGCATGCTGTAGACTACCATTGTTAGGATAGTTGTCTTACGGTGGAATATTGGAGGAAGGGGAAAGTGATGCAGTACTAAACTTAAATATGCACGGGCTTGATTTTACAAGTTTACTTATTTAATTATAATATTTTATTTCATTAGAGTCTAAATGATTTTTTTGTGATTGAGGGTCTAGTTTATGTTTCGTTTAGTAGTTGAGGATCTAAGAGAGCAATTTCGAATAAATTAGCAATTAGGTTACCTTGCTCCGTGCTTAACCAGTAGCCAGCAGTGACATTCTTTGGCTTTTGTCTTATGAAAAAAAATAATAGATTGTGAGAATCTTCTGAAAATTTGATCCAGATTCCAAACGGTATTTGCACTCGAATCTACAGTTTGTTAATCACATGTTATTGTTCTATCTCACTTCTCTCTGAGTCAGGAAGAGGGAGTTGTGGGATTGTGTAGTAGTAAGTGTACTATATGATTAAAGGATATCGTTTTGGGAAATAGTTAAAAATGTGTCTATCTTGGGAAGAGGTGCCGATGCACACCGAACTTTTTTATGATCGAATGAAGCACAAACTATGGTTCCGGTTTGGCACGACACGTGTAGACACAGTATACATATATTTCATCGAATATTAGTGGTCTTCTATTATGAGATTGTTGTGGTCCTCAACGATAACAATCACCTTATCATGCATTCTAAACATTGGGGTCTTCCCAATTCTTCAAGCACACGAGATATTCTAAGATTTCTGATTTGAGTCGAGTCCTTCCTTCTTCAAGAACCCTCTCTGCATTAAAAGCAGACTTCGATACGACTATTGAATTCAAAGATGTTAGTAGATCAAGTACAATAGCAGGAAGTACTTGGTATGCCTGTTCATGTGATTTCCACCCCGTAAAATATCTTGACAAGTTAATTATATTATTAACTAGCTGCTGATAAACGGCTATCTTGAATACTTGTGTAATAGCGTTACTTGGGTTCAAGTTGTATTTCTAAAAAATTTATGCGCATCCTTTGTCAGGTCGATTTTGGTACTGAGGGACGACATTGTTTCTGCAAAGCAGGCGACTTGCTGGCGGTAGTTGAGTAGAACATTGTTAGCATATTGCAAGTGCTAAGATAGCTTTGTTTTATGAAACATTAATATCTGATTCTGTGAAAGATTTTGCATTTTACTTTCTATTGTGTAACATGATTTTGCACTGTGTAACAATTTAAGTTGAACGTGCTAGAGACCCTCATTGTTGTTTAGAAACAATAGCATGAGAAGAGTATATGAATTTATTGTCCTTCGAAAAGAAAGAGTTTAGGGCCCCATGTGTTATTTAATAATCCAAACCGAGGCCCCACCCAAATGATGTGAGTAATAGGTAAACGGTTAGGTAAACCATTGTGTATGTATAGTACTGTCCTATTTTTTTAAGTAATGTAAGAGTGTTAGGGTACGCTTGGCATAACTTTTGAAAATTCAAAAGGAACTGTGGAGTTCTTTAAGTTGCTTTTGGGTTCGTTTGGCTTAATTTATTAGTATTTCGTCAGCTAGAAGAGTTTTTAGAGGAAATTAGTCTAACAAGGTTTTTCTTAAAAATATTTCTGTATTAGGAAACTCTTTTAAAAATTATTTTTCAAACAAAAATTAAAGTAACTCTTCTACAAAAAGCAGAAATAAAAATAAAAGTAATGTGGAATGGGTTAATTAGATTAGATAGCAAATGCTTGGTTAGGCTACCCTAAAATAGGCTGTCGGACATATTTAGGATTTGCATCGAACGTATGTCATTTTTTGTTATTCTCATCATATATTGTTGCAAGACTTTTAGACATTTTTTATAATATGCTAGAAAGTATTGAAACACGAATAAAATATTTCTATTTTCATCGTATATTTTACTTTCTTTTTGTAAATGGTTTGACGATATTTATTTTTAAATAGTTCTACCATCAGAATCTTCTAATCAGAATTTGTTTTCTTTTGTAATAATCGTGAATACTTATTTTCGTGATAGGAATAAATTATGAATTAAAATAAAGTAATAAATATTTTGACAAAAATGTCTATCAACGTCTAAGTATTTTGTTGGTGAATCCTTTCAATATTTTTTAATAAATTTAGAATAAAATTCAAGGGAGTAAACAAAATTTGTTTGTTATCGTAATATTGTTCAATTTAACGTACTAAACTTGTTCTTGTGGAGACTAAAAAAAACATTTGTCCTACTAAGCGTCGAATCGACAAACTCAATCAACAAAATGTCACCTATTTTTATACTCAAGATTTGGAGTTAAACTTATATTATAGTTTTCACTCAAATTTATTATTATATTATAATAATTATGTGCTTTGGACTTATTAAGTGAAGAAATCTGTAATTAATTTAAATACACAGAGTTTGCTTACATAATCATGTTTAAGTTGTAATGGCCACATGATAACATGGCTATGACTCACTTCCATGTAATTAATTATAATTAATTTCTGGCCCCTCGGGACATAACCAAGTGATGCAAATGACAAGAGTGAGATTATCTCACGCTTTGTTGGCAGCCGCAATATGGGGGTTAGATTCCTGAAACATGAAATTAGACTCCTTGTAGACACAATGTATAAGCAGTTCTTGGACCCTGGCCTGTTGGAGCATATCCCGTGATTTACCTCCCTCACAAAATTTTAGGAGCGAGACGATGGAGGCCCTCAAGGTTGAGGTTCAACCTTAATTATAATTAATTTCTGACAAAAAGATATGCTCTACTCTGCCAAGACGTCAGCTATGCTTTTAATTCATTTTAGAGAGGACTTTTAAAATAAATAAATTTAACCTAAAATTATGATTAACTATGTTGCTAGTCAAAGAAATTTTTATATCGGTTTCAGGGATAGCTTTTTGTTTATTATGTGTAATAGACGAAAATAAATTTTTAACAATCTTTAAGTGCCAATATAATTTGGAAAATAAACAAAAATAATTAAAATATATATATATATATATATATTCCACTTTATTTTTTCATCTAAAAATTTTCTTTTGATAATTAAATGAAAATCAATTTGCATCCACTTATTCCCGTTTTTTCTTGTAAAAATTGTACGGAAACCAAACACAAAATGAAGAAATACATTATTAAGTCCTTGTTTGATCCCATTTTTTCAAAATACATTTTTCTCTTATATTTAATCACATTTTTCAATGAAATAAGGATTAATATCTTTGAGTAGAGTCTACGTGGCCTTGTTCTTCTAGCAAAATCTATAAAATAAAATTACACATAAATTTAATTTTTTTTACTACACGCTCTCTACCAAATCACGATTGAAAAAAATAATTAAACAAAATAGGGCTCAAACATGCTCTTTTGTTTGTGCCTCATTTTGGAGAAAAAATGCATTGGTAGAGAATGAGTAAATAAAAATTAAGAAAAAATTTAATTTATGTATAATATTATTTTATTAAAAAATATGTCATTAAAAATAAGTTTTGAAAAAATAAATTTTTAAAAGAATGTATTTTCAACAAGAGTCATGCTTCATGACAGCTCAATGTACATGTCCCTCACACGTGGCTTCTAGAAGTAATTATTTGCTGGTTTGCTGGTGCAATTAACGAGGTCCCACGTGTAACGGGCAGACAACTTTTTTGAAAGGATATATTGGAATTGGAATATTTGGTGCCCGAGTATCACGGGCAGAGGAGATAATGACCTAGAAAATAAAGCCTACAAGTGTTCGCTTTAATTTAAGAAAATATTATAGATGTGGTTCCCAAACTAATATATTGATATTCTTAGTCCCCAGACTATTATATCTGTAATACTTAGCTCCCAATCAAGGATTTTTAATTATACAAAAGTATAATTTTTTTTTTAATTTCTAATTCTTTTGTCTCTGTCATTCTTTTTTTTAGTTGAACATAATGATAAAATTAAAATTGATAATCCAAGAAAATGTTAAAATTTTATTTGAAACACTCAAGTGGTAAATAAATAAAAGGTTGGGAACTGTAGCCGCCAAAATAATTTGTTAGAGACCTACTTACTAAATTTGTACTAAGGTTGGGGACTCAACTGTAATTTTTCCTTTATTTTAATGGGTGTGGGACCCAATATTTGAGTGTTATGGAGTGTGGGGCCCATGCCTACGCAGCTCTAAGGTGTAATGATGGAAAATGACAAAGGAATGGAAAATCATGGCGTTTGATTGACGGATGTAATGAGTGGTTTTGATGACGAGCACTTTTTTTCATTTTTTGGTATTCAACAATCTTTTTGCAATTGTACCCACCAATTCTTAAAATTGTTGATTCCGCCACAACACTTTTTTGTCATCATGTTTATAGTTGGATTCTTGTCACATTCTTATTCTTATTGCTTAAAAGATTCGAGTTTAAAAGCCTGAAGAAATGTCTGCGAATGGCAATGTAGTATGAACCGAACTGCATTGAACCAACTGATGTGATCAAAAAAATAGAGAACGAATCGAAAATTAGGTCAAATCTTGTTCAAAGAGTTGAAACTTAAAAATCACTAAAACAAATCCAAAATCGACTGCGTCACCGCTGAAACCCGTTGTTTCCTTTTTAAAAATAAAGGAATTTTTGTTTTTGCGTGTATATTTAATTCTTGTCTAATATATGATGGATTTTCAATTCTTGATCATTTATATTTTTTAGATCTTCCTTGATTAATTTTTGAAACTCTGACAAATGAAAGTCCACTTCTTACGGTATCAAAACAACAATTCTTATAATGTCATAGTCACTCGAACTGCATTAAACCAACTGATGTGATCAAAAAAATAGAGAACGAATCGAAAATTAGGTCAAATCTTGTTCAAAGAGTTGAAACTTAAAAATCACTAAAACAAATCCAAAATCGACTGCATCACCGCTGAAACCCGTTGTTTCCTTTTTAAAAATAAAGGAATTTTTGTTTTTGCGTGTATATTTAATTCTTGTCTAATATATGATGGATTTTCAATTCTTGATCATTTATATTTTTTAGATCTTCCTTGATTAATTTTTGAAACTCTGACAAATGAAAGTCCACTTCTTACGGTATCAAAACAACTGCTTAAATTGCTTTTATTATATGAAAACCTTGTTGGCCAACACGTGGCCTTACTTGGTACTCCCTTGTTAGATTCGATTATTGTACTCAACGTCCTTACTTTTTCGAAAATTTTGTTACATCTCCTATGATTCTTCTCGATAGTTACGAAGGAGTACAAATAGGGCTAGCAGAACATATAAAGTAAAATACTTTTACCAGAGTAAAAAGAAAGAATATATAAGCGAACACTTATCTTCTATTTTCACCCCAAGTTTATCGAAACCCTAGTCACTTTGTTGACATCCTATATTTGAACACAAAAGGGCAATTCTGATAGTTTGCTTAAATTGCTTTTATTATGAAAACCTTGTTGGCCAACACGTGGCTTTACTTGGTACTCCCTTGTTAGATTCGATTATTGTACTCAACGTCCTTACTTTTTCGAAAATTTTGTTACATCTCCTATGATTCTTCTCGATAGTTACGAAGGAGTACAAATAGGGCTAGCAGAACATATAAAGTAAAATACTTTTACCAGAGTAAAAAGAAAGAATATATAAGCGAACACTTATCTTCTATTTTCACCCCAAGTTTATCGAAACCCTAGTCACTTTGTTGACATCCTATATTTGAACACAAAAGGGCAATTCTGATAGTAAGAGGTTGTTTGACAAAGATTTTAATAAAAATTTTAATAGATCAAAGTGGTGAATCTCATGAAATTCGTAGTTAAAATAAAAGTTTAATCAGCTGAAATTTTTTTGCAAAGTTTCGTCTAGCAAAAACTAAAATTTTCACACAAATAGCTACCATGCCTTGAAAATCACTAAAAATTTAAAGATATTATGTCTTTAAAATGGTTCTTATTGTTGAGAATTGAACTGAATGTGCACCAAGAAGTTGAAGACCATTTTGTTACTTTTCTAAAAATTAAAAACCAACTTACTACTCAAACAATAAGTTTGGGCATTAAAATTGCAATTTTTCCTCACATTAATTAATTAAAAAGTTCGTATTTGGTGGTCCATTTGTATATATAAATCCACCAGCTCTCTTCCTTTTTCCTTCCTCCCTCCACCACTTCTCCACCCATTTGAGCATCAAAAGCACCAACGGCCATCCTATCGCCGCCGCAATCCACCGCCCTCTCCACCGTTCAACAATGAGATCTGCCGCCTTATTCTATACGGGGTGTGAGGATGACCATTACCAGCCTCATTTTCTCGATTCTTGCTTTTTTTGCCACAGAACACTGGGCCATAACAATGACATTTTCATGTACAGGTTAACCAGATTCCACCTCCTTTTCATGTTCTTACCCTTTGATATGACTGATTTGACCTTTAGAAAGATCGAATTGTTCATTTATTTTAATTATTGTTTTCATATTTGAACGACGAGTTCTGATGGATTTGTATTTTGTTCTGCAGAGGGAACACACCATTTTGCAGCCAAGAGTGCAGACAAGAACAGATTGAGATAGATGAGGCCAACGAGAAGAAATGGAAGCTCTCTTCATCAAAGAAATCAACTTCTGTAAGAAAAACTACGGATTCTGCTAAAGAATTCGACTCCAAGAAAGATGTGAGGACAGGGACAGTTGCTGTTTCTTAAGACAAAACATTAAAATCAAGAAACTTACTCATAAAATCTTGATTTTCCAAGGCTCACATCATGTAAAGAAATGATGGGTACAACAAGGAAAGAAGATCCATCACACAATTTTGAGTATTTTCTTGTATTTTTTTTCACTTTTTCTTTTTCAGTTTCCATGTGGGCTTTCAGTGTGTGTACATTTGAGGAGCATAAATATTGTATACATGAGAAATAAATGTGTCTAATTAATGATAAACCTTAAAATTAATGTTTTGATTAATCTATGATTTGAGCTTTTGAATAGGAATATGTTTTTATTGTATTTTTTTCGTACTTAATTGTGATTGAATATAGAGAGCTGAGTGAGTAATTTTCTATATGGCATGTTTGCTTGTGCATATAAGCAAGACAAACTTACTTTACCGAGGCTTATTTTCTGTTGCTGCCAGCACTTTTTCAGAGGTTTTTACCAACTCTTGGCTCAAAAGCGATATCTTTAGTAGATTGAATCTTAATTTGGTAACAGATCTATATTTAGTTTCTTTTGGGAGGGATTTTGAGAATTGATTTTTTAATCGTTAGGAAAAAAGTGGAATCTAGTTGTGAGAGAAGAAATCAAATATAACGACTGAAATAATGGAATAACGGTCAAAAAATCAATTTTTTGGACCAAAAAATCGCTCCCAGGCTATTAATACTTCCCTTAGCAACAAGTGACAATAGTTTAATGACACTACTTTGTTTCGCAAAAATTCCAAACTGTTACACCAAAAGTAGTACTTAATTATTCAGTCACAAGCAACAATTTAGAAGCAACCACCTCATTAAAAATCTCTCTTTTTAATCAAAAACAAAAAAAAATACGCGTAAAACAAACTGATGATGCATATCGACTTTAATGTTCAGCTTATATCGGACCACCTGCAGTCAAAAAAATACTCGCATCAGGTTTCATCGTCGCAATCCAAGAGAACAACATACATTCTTCAAGCCTCCTCTACATGGTCGACAGGTATTTAGCGTAAGAGTAATCGGGTTTTTGATCATTTCTGAATCAAGTGATGTTTCAATTCTGTAAATGATAAACAAGCATGTTCAGAACAAAATCTAAAGCAATTTCTATCGGTATGTAAATGTTTTAATGGTACAAACGACAATTAAACATTAGTTGGGCTGGGTGTGATATGTACAGCAAGACGAGGAAGCTTGAAACCTGTTAAGCAGATAAAAATATCGCTAGATTTGAGCTTCGTTTCACATAAAAGTCGAACCAGATATAATGCAAACAGAGAAGGAGAGTCTTGATCAAAACCCAGGCTCAAATTCAAGACAAAACCTCGGCAGGTGAATTTTTATAGAAAAATCATAGAACAGAACTTTCTTGGATGCAATTATTTTGTATCCACGATTATATTAAACAACTGTTGAAATTAAAAAAAGGGGACCATCTATCAGCGATCACTTATAAATCCGAATAAAACGTTCGTGCATTTGAATAAAATATTACCTAATGAAATCTGGTGCCATATCTTGGGTATGGTAGCATCTTCAAGCAGGAACCTGCGATCCACAAAAACCAATATTTAATAGATTTAAAAACACGATGATTGTATATATGCCTATCATCTTATTACAGAATATATACTGGTGCTTTTCGGCTAAATTGAGCGGAACTCAAGTAAGAAACCATATAGAAAACTTCATGTGCCGACTAATAGAAGCAACTTTATGTCCTGACTCTTTTAAATGACAAGATGAACTAAGATTGCTAAAATTTTAGAGTGGCAGTGCATAACTTGTAAATCCAATTTAACATCCATATATTTTCTCAAAGCAAAAACATTTCCGAATTTCCAATTCCTCCATAATTTGTTAAATTAAGCTAAAAATATTAGGGAATCAGAGGCTTGTTCATGTTTTAACGAAAATGTGCAAAAGCCTCTATTTCTGCCATCTACATTGGCAAGATGTCAATATATTGCTATATTTATGAAGTTGTGGCCACTAATATGTCGTTGTAATCAAACACAAGGTAAACTGTTTGCAAACATACTTGAATTTATAAGGTACAGAATACTAGAACATTTCATTTCTCGCTACGCTAAAATTCTGCAATTATCGTCAATGCATTCTGCATCTCATCCCAAAGCATCGAAAAACACCATTTCCAGATTTTCTTTTCCATTTAAATCGACGGTGCATATAATATTCCCTTGAGTCCTCACTAGGCTGCTTTACCTTGTCATACGATGAGGTGAAAACAGCTTTGACTGCCTCAAAAACTTCTTCAACGGGTTTCCCAGCATCAATCTGAAGTCAAAAGAAACACAAATTACCATTTTTGCAGGCCTTTTTGGCCTCAAAGAGCACGTTCTGTTAGGATTGAAATTTAGTACTAAATAACTTCTTTTGCCAAACATGTTGAGGGTTTTCAAAAGTTATCTTCTTAGAAATACTAAAACTACCTTTCGAACCTTCTCCTTGGAGTTGTAGTATTCAATCACCGGGAGACTAGACTCCATGAAAACCTTGAAGCGCTTCTTTATTGTTTCAATGTTGTCGTCTTCCCTACCCTTCAAGCAGGAAAAAAAAGAAGCCGGTAAATAAATAGAGGAAAGGTAAAAGACACATAAACTGGTGGAAGAAACAGAAAGAACGTGAAAATTTCCATTAGGAACACAAAGAACGTGTTTAACCTGATTTCGACTCAATAGCCGCCTCTCCATCTCTTCTTCTGAGCAATCAAAGAAAAGCACAAACTCTGGCACAATTCCAATCTGCAAAGCAAAGTCACTCAATAAAGCACGAAAAAAGATAGGAAAATACAAAAAGTATTATGACTTAGCAATCTCAAAGCAAATATAATATATGAAAAACTAGCAAAAGGCATAATATATAGATTATTTTACGCATAGATAGAGAGAGGGAGAGATTTGAAAAACAGGTATAATAGAAAAATCACCACAGATTCAAATGCTACACGATTCTCCTCGTTACGGGGGAAACCATCAATGAGAAATTTGTCATTGCCACTTTCATTCATTGCTCGTTGTAAAAGCTTAACTGTCACCTCTGAAGGTACAAGTTTTCCCTCCTTAATCATGTTCTGAATCATTGTCCTGTATATAATAAGATAAACACTGAGACAGACTACAATAACAAAAAATCTTACTTGGATACCAAAAATGTAGCAGATTCCATGAGCCTAAATATTTGATAGTTAGCCACCGTTTGACATCAGTTTTAATGAGTTTCTTTTTGGGCAAGTTTTGGAATGGTGATTTTTTGGAAAATGTGTTGTTAAAAAGTAGTAAAAAAAAAACTTGGGTTTATATGCAAAATATTTTATTGTTTGAATGTGTGGTTGAAAATGAGTTTGAAAAATAAAGAGTTTTGATTTAATGGAAGACAAACAGGGGTTTAATAGCCACTCTTCATCTTGTATAGAGGCTTCTGAATTTAAAAGAAACACAAATTACCACAATTATCTTTTTTATATATAATATGTGCAGGAGACAACCTCAGTAGATCAAATCAATTATTTGATCCATAGTAGGAGAGAATTTCGGACAACAATTATAGAAGTCACAACTGAAGAGCAATTAAGCATATGAAGCACCCATCCTTCCATTAGAAAATAGATTTATAACATTTTTCTTTTGAAGAGGATACAAAACATTCGCATTAAAAAATAAAGAAAAAGAAATTGTACCCATTTTCAGAACCAGATTTTATTTCTTCTCGGAGCAGATCACCAGCACTGAGATGGGTGTACCCAAAGTGCTGGACAATTTTTGCGCACTGAGTGCCCTTACCACTGCCAGGGCCACCTGCTCAAGTTTAAGGTTTAAAAACAAAACAAATATCAGACTTGCTTTAAAATTAACAAAAGAAGAAAATACTAAAATAACAACAAAAATACTAAGATAAACATAAGGTAGGACGTCAAACTTGCTTCAGAATTAGCAGTAGAAATACTAACAAAAGCCACAAAACTAGATTTAATTGAATAAATTTATGTCTTCTTCAACGGCTTAAGCTTTAGTGATTCAAAATCGTATCAGAGCATGAACTGGTATAAGAAAATTTGACGTGTCAAGCCATTGATAAAAAATGAAATAGGTGTGCATATGAGGGGCCTATTTGTGACACCCTGAATTCTCTCTACTATTCGTTATTTTCTGAATTAGGGCCTAGATGAAAAGAGTTGAAAGTTCAGGGACCAGATTATATGATTGCCTATATTGAGGGACCAAATTGCAATTTTTCAAAATGTGGTTTCTTGGGTATGTGGGAAAAAATGATTTGGTTTTAAGGAAGGAATGGTAGGAGATTTTTTTATTTTTTATTTTTTGCCTCTACATGTTAGTTGGATTATGTTTATGGAAAGTACAATCCGTCGTTTGTAAGAATATACATGTACAGAAAACTAGGAAAATAATTACCTGAAATGATGTAAGCATATTTAATTCTCTAACATGTGATTAATGCTAAAATCAAATATTCTTACCTAGAATATATGTAATTAAGTGGCAATCACTATATTTTTGCCTTAAGTTTTAGCCATTAATCATTGGTCAAAATCCTAGCATATAGTGTGCTATCGTATAAATTTAGACAAAAGTTACTTTATTCCAAAATCATCTCACACATCTCATCTCTTTCTCCCTTTCTCACGTTCCCCTTTTGTCTCACACACACAAGTACACCTACTGAAGTACTTTTGTTAAGGTCGAATCAGGGACAAAATTTAGTTGTTTCAAAGATTTTCATGCATTTTCTTAGTTCCAAGCAGGTAAATGTGTTGCATAATTTGTCTATGGTGTTATTAAGTTTGGAATAAATTTTTAAGGGTTCTATATGAATATGTTTATGATAAGATGACTGGAATTTAGTAGCATTATGCAGAAAAATAAAATTAAAAAAATCCAATAAGTTTGATAATTTTCTCGTGTCTTCTTTATGTTACGATATGATATGATTCCTTTACAAAACTTTAATATGTTGTTCAAATTATTATGCACACTTATTGAGATTTATATCACCTTATATTTCCCATTTCAAGTGATTAGGATTCGAGAGACCGAGTTTGGAAGTGGTCAGCTGTGGTGGAAACATATTATTAGTAACTTATAAAAACAAAGAATGTCAAGGATATTAATTCAAAATATTATTGAAGTATTTTTTTAAAGGATTTTTCTTGAAGGATTGGACATGAGTTCACTTCATTGACTATGAAGCCCTCACTTTCATTAAGAAATTCTTTTCTTTCTCTTAGGTCATTTTAATATCTTATGTGATAATATGTGTATTGGTGGCACTTAGGTCGTCACAGTGTTGAATGTTTTAAATCCTCTCTAATAGCTTAAATTTTTAAATCAAGGGGTAATATCTATAGTTCAAGTCTATCCGTCACCCATTTAGTGAAATTATGCATGTGTTAGGCTTTATTGGGAAAAAATAGTCTGACGTACACATGAAGGAAAGTTTTGAAAACAAGATTTAAATGATATAAATGTGACATTCTTTAAGAGTTTGGACTTTTATATCAAGTGAATTAACATTGAAGTCTAAATTTAAATAAACAAAAATAACTTAAGATTTTAGATGAGATAGTTCAGCACAATGCTAGGACAGTAATTATTATTATTATTATTTATTTTTTTATGACCATGGTGTCTGACCAACTTACGCGCACCTCAACTAATCTCACGGGATCCTGAAGTTTACAATCGGATATTCACCTCAATGGCCTTGAGGGGACTCAAACCGGTGGTAGGACACTAATTATTTTGAAGCTAATGCAGCACAAATCCATTCTTAACTGCTTCCTTCCACTATTATCCTGATCAAGAAGCACTCCAGCGCAAAGTTCAGTTGCAGGACTCTTGAGAAGGTTTCGTGATATGCGTATCCATGACTTATTTGTATTAGATTAAGTAAGAAAGTGTTCGACTAGTAGTCTGAAGAATGTGAAGAAGACTGATAATTACATGTAATAGAAGAGCATACTGATTCTGTGTATAAGGTGGCAAGTCAATGAGATGATGGAACAAGATTAACTATTGGCATAAGAACCAAAGGAAATAAGTGAAGGAATAATATTCCTTCTTGAGTTATGGATGCAAAAGAGCATGTAATTTAAGTAGGAAAAATAACACTTCACAGATTCATATAACTTCAATGCAGAAAGACCTACTGCCATATAATTAATTATTCAGATATGGACATTGAAATATGAAAAACCAAAGCACTCACCCAGTACAAAAACAACTGTAAACTTCTTGTCAGTTCCTTTGGCTTCCTGCAGTCAGTTCTAATTTATCAAATAATACCCAAGAAATAAGTTTCTGAAAATATGCACGAGCCATACATGCACATCATTATGATAACCACTGGGTCTAATTATAGCCACCAAAAGAAGATTCATTAAATGACTGCCATAGCATATGCAAGCACAAAATAATACCATAACTGAGAAGTAAGAGGCATTCAGCTCCAAATGAAGAGTATGCTCTGTACATGTTGAGTTGATGAATTTCTAGTCAACTTGGTTAAAGTTATATTTATGCTGAACAAGTCCTAAGCATAGCTTGGTTGCTTTTTGTCCAGAATTTTCATAGAAATTGGTGACAAACATGAGTAAATTTTGCTCATCAGCTGCAAACTTGTGAAAAATTCAGACTGCAACTGGGAGGCTTTAAACACCCAAAAAGGGCAAAAAAGAAACAATATTAAACTTGTCTGATTTTATTGTCTAATAAAATATTTGACACGTTCCAGTGTATATTTATCCTTAATGACAATAAAGAGTCAAAGAATTTGATTAAGAATTAATTTCATAATGTATAAGCTTTTAAAACAGATTTAGCCCCTGTTTGATAGCCATTATAAAGAGCAATTGAGGGAAAATGATGTTTAGAATAGTGATTTTTTGGAAAATGTGTGATTAAAAAGTATGGATAAATTTGGGTTTATGTGCAGAATATTTTATTGTGTAAATGTGTGATTGAAAATGAGAATGAGAAATAAAGAATTTCGTTTTAATGCAAGTCAAACTGGGGCTTAACTCTTCTAGAAAATAGAAACTGAATTGGTAATTGAAAAAAAAAAAAAAAAAAGATTCGATTGTGAACTTTTCTTCAGAAACCATAGTCCCTAATTGCTGCAACTGTATTACAATGCAGAAGATTTTGCTTGCTAATGATGCCTGCCAAAGAGGCTACAAAGCAAAGAATTCCATGGCGTGAATTTTAGAATCCAGCAATTATTATAGTATCGATTGCATGACTACCAAAAATCACAGAGATGTCTGCGTTTCCCAATCATATCGTTGATAGAAATTCGCAAAATATTGAACCAACAGAGGAAAAAGATCAATAAAAATACCTTGTTTGCCACATCAACTACATTTGCCATGAGTGTACTAAGTTTTCTTGTAAATTATCTGCATACAGCCCAAATCTAAGGGAGGTCAGATGTAAATTTTATTTCACTTCCTTAGAAGTGCAACATTTTCTATAATGTTCTAAGAATGCAGCTGAATTTTCTAATAACAAAAAGACTCCAATAAATCCTTTAAAAAAAAAAATTAACAGGGAAAAATAAGATTCAGAAATGCAGAAAATGCTCAAAGAACCTTCACGGTAGAGATCCAGCACTTCCTACAACACACAATCACACCACTACAAGATGAAAGCAATTTCTTCTATGTTTTAGTAACAATCACTCAGAATTGAAGGAGGAATTGAATTGTTTTAGCAGCAAAAGATGAGAATTGAATGAGAAGTTATATATCTACGAAGTGGTAGTTCTCAAAGACTAAAACTCCGTAAATATTTGGAACTTGTTTACCAAATATGAAAAATTCCCAGCAAACAAAATCTTATAATTGAATTGAAACTAGAAAATTTTCATGCAGTAGATTCTGATTCAGCAAATCGATATTATAAGCTGGTATAAACACATAACTAACGGATTATTTTCGTTTTCTATGATATGTAAAATCTCGTTGTTTTTAATCTATTAACAAGAGCACAACTTAATGTGTCAGATCACAGAAGAACAACCAAATTTAGTGAAGAAAAGCTCAAAATATGCATCGAATTTATATCTTTACAAAAGGGTAATCTTAAACTTCAGCAAATAATTTGCTGGTTACCAAATACATAAATTAGCAAATAAAATCATGGAATTCAATCTGCTGCAAGAGGCAGGCTTAAAATTAACCCATAAAAAAGGACGTTGAAATTCATTTTACAATGATCTGGCAGTAACATTGATCAATAAAACATCAGATTACAGCAAAATGAACAACTTCTAGAGTGAAATTAAAATCAATTTTTCAAAATGATCGGTCCTAACATTCATCACTTAGAATTCCAATGCAATACAAAGGCAAAAATTAATTGAATTCTTATTTTTCTGGGATCCAACTTTATAAACCTTGGAAAACATAAAATCAGACCAGAGAAAAACGCCAAGATTTTGGCAACTAAATAGAAAATGAATGTAAAATAGCTATGCTAAAAATTTCGGCAAACATTATGAACAAGTCAAGGAATCAAGAAAAACAAGGAGATTTGAGATAGAAAAACCAAATGAAAATCAAATCATGAAAGCTGGGCATGCTTAAAATTTCAGCAAAAACAATCAATATGTTGAGAAATCAACAAATTGAAAAGGGGAAAAAAGAACACGATGTACAATGGAAAAGGGAGGGACTTGTGGAGATCCCAGAACGTGAAGTTTAACAATTTCCGCGGTGTTTTTCTTGAATTTATAGCGGGGGCTGTGGTTCTTGAATGAATGGTAGAAACCAACTGATTAATTAGCGTAAGTTTTACTACTTTGGGTTTGTAAAATACTTTACAACTAATATCAAACATTGTCTCGATTAGGACTGGACGGTGCATTAGTGTAACCGTTACAAATGGAATCAAAGTTTGAGTGACTATTATCATAAATTAATTAATTAATTAATTAAATTAAAGATGATCGACATAATTACTCAAAACTTCAATGAGCACTCACACGTCTCACTTCCAACAACTACAGTCGTGTTCCTATTTTAATCTGCGCAAAACATATAAAACGACATAATTTGTTCTTCCATTAATTTATTCTGAATCAGTCGAGCTTCTGCTCAGTGTTATGTTCGTTTCTTACTTATAGAGCAATATGCTTGTTTTAAATATCCTCGTTCTACGTTCATTTTATAAACGTCCTCGTGCTTTAATAATATCACACTCAATATCATTAATTGCAACGAGTTTAAGTACTAATATATTTAGTTAACACTTAATCCCGATAAAGATGTATAATCTTAACAATCGAGTCGATCTCATGTGAGCACTCCCAAGTGTAATGGAGATTTTGGCCTTAAGGTAATTCTTTAAGTCCAAATATGTTGTTCTTCATTTCCCTTTAGTTATCCTACTAGAATTTTATTTTTATTTTTGATGGGGGACAGCCACTACCCTTCGGGTACATATTGGTTAAACTCTCGGGCTAATATACTTTTAGAATTTTGACATTTGCTTGTGAGTTTAAGGTGTCAAAATGTCAAAGTTTTGAATTTTTTGACAGCTAACCATATGTCAAAATTTCAATGGACGCAACAATCAGATAACAAATTTGAACTCTCCTTCGCCACCCATTGTTGAGCATTTATCATTAGATAACTGTTTATAAATTCATTTATATAGAGTTCATTTTACATATGGCCACCAAATTTTGTGTGAGATTTTAAAATTGATTTTTAAAGATTTTTTTTGACTTATTTAATCAATAAAATTAATTAACGTAACAAATGATCCTTAAAGTATTTTTGGCTCATTTAATCAATAAAATAAAATATAAGCAAAATGTAAAGAAATTTCAACCCATACATAATTAAATTTTAACTTTAAATTTAAAGTTTTAGGGTTCATATAATGCACGTTGAAGTCGCAAAAATGAGAACATGATCTATTTCTCAATTACTTCAATATATTTTCCTCAAACTAATCGGATTGAATGATAATTATCAAAATCAGCTAAAATTTAAAAGCAATTTCGTAAGTTTTTCTTAATCATATATTTTTTATTTTGGATATAGCACGTACCTCATATGGTGATCCATGCCTTAGTTGTTTGTACATGTGAAAACTTAACTCGGATTAGACACTATTTTTACTAATAGCTTGAGTAATGATATAACGTTAATTGACTTTATCGACTAAATGAGTTGAAAAAATGCTTTAAAGACGATTTGAGATTCAGCACAACTTCGACTATCATTCATTGTAGAAAGTCTATTTTGATATAACATGAGATTTTATTACTTTACTTCTACATCATATGTATCAATCGATTTCACATAAAATGTGAACATTTAAAATATGTTTGATGCATCATATTAAATAAATAATGGTGCAGTAAAATTTATTAGTCAATATGCAACTAAACATTCAATCATTAATGGATACCTTTTACATAAAATAGCTAATTAGAATGGAATTCATTTCCAAACAAATCTTACTCTCAGCTTTAGTTTACTTTGAATGATTTTAAATTTAAGAACATAAATGCATGAATTAAAAATGCCATAAAATAAGGAAAAGTTTACAAAACAATGCCAATGCACTTAAATTACCCCATTTTGATGAGTTATAATATCGCAAACTACTATTTTAGCCTTAAGAAGTGTCATATTTCATTATAGTTCTAAAACGAATACAAAAACTTATAAGTAATTTAAGTAACCTACAACGTAAAACGAACATGTTAAAAGAAAAAAAATACTTATAAAACTACCAGAAACGAAAAACTTATTAAAATATAACTGGGATTTGAGTGGTTAAATGATATAAATAAAACAAGAATATTAATAAATAAAAAGGGCAGTGGAATCTACGAATCAAGACATAAAAAAATTAACTACTTTGTCTAGAATGAAGAATCTAATGGTATTATTATGTACTATTTATTTTATGAGAAATTATTTTGATAATTTGGGCATATGTTCTCCAAACAGTTGGTTGCTTTCCACTATGAATATATGCTTTTATTTCGGATTCTTCACTCTCCACAAGCCACCTTGTTGTGTAATTTTGTAGTAAAAAATGTCCTTCATTTAAAGGATCTCTAACATGTCAGTGTACGAGATTTTATTGATCTAAAAAAAGGTGTATGATCCTAAGCATATCAATAGAAAAAAGTATCTTAATCTTCACCGAATCAAATCCACGGTTTTTTATTTAATGCAATCTATATCATCGTGGCCTTGGCATTCAAGATATATATAGGAAACTTTGCAACGAGGTATTATCCCTTGTAAGAAGTGCAAAGAAGTCATTAATGTTTTAAACGTTGGCACTGCCAACTTCCATATCATGGAGGAAATTCTTTTATATGGATATTCAAAAACTTTTTATAAAAGCGTCAATCTTTTCATTAATAGGAACATGATTACATCCTTTGAAATCCGTTATGATGATGATGATGCATTTACGTTGTTCGAGAAGACCCCGTCATAATTGCACGTTCTCTCAACAAAATAGTTTCGTCCATGATGAAATTACAAAATCAGAAGCTCAAAGGTACAACACCCACAAACTAGTTTCTTGTACTAAAACATTTTTATTGACAACATAGAAATTACAAACTATCATGTCTGTCTACTTTGCTGCAAGTTTCGAATATTTACACCCCATTTTTATTTAGTATCGGTACATCTATTAGGTAAAACAAAATCCTAGCATCAAAGTCTGAAAAGTTAAAATGATTTGGAAAAAAATAAGAAAATCTCTAAACAAATCAAGAATATGGAATTACACTTAAATCGCGAATTCTATTATCGTATAAATCATGTGTTAGCTTCATCCAACAAGTCCGAGAGTTGCTTACCCTAAAATTAGCACCACATCTACCTCTTGTTATGACATCCTCATTTTTGTTATGCTATCACATGGACAAGTTCTCCTCTCCTGACCCAATCAATTTCATATAGCTTAACTTGTATAACTTTCGTTGCATACAACTATCTTTCTCATCACATAAACTACTTGGAAGAGTTCATTTCATCCAACTTCATCAAATACTCGTTCTTTGTTAACAATCAAGCTTACATACTTGAATAAAACCCTTATTGAGACCTTCAGTTTGTCCTATTTCTTCTTAACTTCTCGTAACTAGAAGGGATATCAATTTAGCTTGTCCTGGTCATGCTTAACCTAAAACATCTAGTTTCTAATTCTTCAATGTTAAAACTCCCATGTATCTCTTTCAGTGTCTAACCAATTAAAACTATGCCCGTGTTTGACCTCATTTTTGGGGAAATACTTTTTGAACAGTGATTTTTTGGGGAATGCGTGGTTAAAAAATAAAGAAAACTTTTGGATTCACGTGTAATTTCTATGGGCAGTGGCGTAAACAGAAGGAGCCAGAAAAAATTGTTTTATTGAACTGCTACATATAAAAAAAAAATTCCAAAGAAATTCTTTTTTCTTTTTTACATTAAAATTAAATAGTCCTTGGGGGGTAAGGGTTGAGCCTTGCCGCTATTTCCCCTGTCTTTGGGAGAATATATGATTGAAAATGAGTTTTTGAAAAAATGGAACCCAAAAAGATCATCAACAAATGGAACATGCTATAATATACATTGACGATTTAAATAGGAGCAGTATTAGATAATGGATAACGGAAAATTTAGAACTACATATTCCTTTCTTTCAGTAGAATGAAAGAAATTGGACTAATGAAAAATAGTATTTGGAGAATAAATACTGAGGTGAATAGGAATTGGAGAAATCTGTTTTATCTTCTTTGTGACTTCATTGGTTTCATCATGGATTTCCAGGCGAACCGAGGCCGCAAAAGAAAAATGAGATGTAAAATTTATAGTTTCCTCTGCCAAGTAATCAATCCCAGTACTAAAAGATAATAATAATAATAATAATAATAAAATAATAAGGTTTTGGAATAAAATTGATAAAAAGTAAAACATTTCATTGTTTCTTTACAAGTAATACAATAACCTGTAAAAATATTGTTCTTCGGATAAAAATTGATAATATTAATTTTAAATGAAAATAAAGTATTTTTGAAAAGTTATAAAATGAAGTTACTTGTACTATAAAAGTCAAGTATTAGGTTGACCCGGACGTACAAAGTCTTGAACAAATTCGTTACGGGGGTACTTTTAAATTTGACTCAGTAAAAGGTACAAAATTTCACTTTGACTTTGAAAATCTTGAATATTATCACATTGGCCTTTTGTATGATAAAAGACAAAGATGTCCTTAAATGTATTATACAATTACAAAATAATGTATTGTTGAAAGTATTTTACTACCATTTTAGTTAATAATTGAAAATCAAATACTTCCCCATTTATAAAACTTCAAAACGAGCTTCTAACACAGAAAAATTCTCATCTTTCATCTGCTTAAATCTCAAAATCTCAAAAAAATTTCAAACACTAAAGCTGAAATTTTTTTTCATATCAATTACTTCAAATTGATAAGTATATTTATACATGTTTAATTTCGTTTTTATTAAATTAGTATACGTTTGAATAGAAAAATTTTATTTCGACATAGTAATAGTTAGTATAAATTTTTTTAACAAATCTTACCTTTCAAAAAAAAAAATTGAATAGATCTACAATTTTTTTCTTTGGAACCGTAGAAGAAAAAAATTCATATACAAAACAGCCAAACACTCGGTTGTTACAGCGACTTCCGGCTGTTAAATAGCCGACAGCCGGCCGTTGGCTATAACAGTCGACTGTTACAACCAACAGTCGGTTGTTAAATAATCAAACAGTCGATTTTTGTACTTCTATTTTCACAAAAATTGATTGT